TAAATAATCATGAGCAGTTTACTAATGATTTACATATTAAATTTTTGCTTGGTAGTGATATACTAGACTAATTTATCAAAGGTTGAGGGTTCTGATATATTTTTGACGATAATGGTTAGATTAATTGGTAAAGATTTTGATATACTATCTTAAGATCATAAGCTCGAACTTTGTATTTGTCATTTACCCATAAAAAAAATTGTTGATTGGTGGGTCGATCTTGTCCTATAGATTTAAAATTTTCGCAGGTGGTGGCCTCACTATATATATATTTTTAAAAAGCCATATGGCAAGGTTGAATCAGCCTTTATTTTCTGATGGTGATGACGCTCTCACAAGACTGATACCAGCCTCAAGTGCAAAATGGGGTGAGTCACACTCCTTCAAAGGTTCCAGTGTTGGCACCAATCTCTCGATACCCAACACGGTACCTGATTTTTAGTGATGAATCAAGGCTCACCCATCTCGGCGTTGGATGTGGTCTATGGTCAACGGCGGAGCATTCCTAACATTTCCAAACAGATTACACTTAATTTAAATGCGTTGCCGTATTAGTTATATTTGCAAGTTAGTAAAAATTATGTGTACTAAATCATCTTAATCAATCATGATGGAGTGAGTTCACCGCAGGGATCGACGCATCGTCCGCCATACATAAGCAGCATCGGACGGTCGGCGTTGCTGCTTTAAGGCAGCTATATTAGTCGTCGCATCTCTTAAATTGTTGGAGTAGATACGCGCGGTCATAATTAATTGCTCCGAGAACGCGTTCGTTACCCCCCTAATCCCTACACCGCCTCATCCTCTGTAGATCGCCTTGATCCTCGGTGGCTGGTGGCTAGCGGCACAGTGGTACCTTCTCTCACTCCTCTTCATCGCCTCTATTCCGATCGGGCTCCCTTTCTTGCCCCTTCGCGTTCGCTATCTGCTTCGAAACCCCAATCTTTCCGGATTCTCATTCCTTTATTTTCGGTGATTCCAGGCTAGATTCTTTATTTCTAGTTGTTTCTTATGTTCTTCTGTCCTGCGAGAATGTCATTGCTGTTCTTATTGTGGGGCATCGTCAATGCTCTTCTTGTTCGGTTGACTCGGGATTTTGCTTGTTCCGCCTGTTTCGCCGCCTAAGTGTCAAGAACTCTGTTTCCTCATTCGTTACACTATAATTTAGGGTGTCTGTTTAGCTTGCCATGGAGATCATGTTTTCTAATCCATAAATACCTCTTCTTTACATGTATACAAGAATCATCAACAATATTATGCTTCCGAAGACAACTTGCATCTCCGGGTAATAGGGTTATTTTCTTGGCTCCATGCTTTCATCTTGTGTTTTATAGATGACTTTGATCGTCTCGATGAGGCCTTCTTTTCTTTTATCAGGGAGCTTTGGTCGGTTAAATTTTAACTGGATTGGGTCAACAAGTTGACCCGAAACCTCGTATCTCGGGACTAAGAACCGATCAAAGACCGTGTTCTTAACGATTTTGATCAGGGTTTACTGAAAGAGAAGTCTGTTTCAAAGACCGTTCTGCAGTAAAAATCCCTCTTCTTCATTTGTTGTGTTGTCAGATCCGAGTGTTGGTACATTCTGACCACGTGGAAGCATTGCAGTTAAAGGCCACCGCATGTCTCGTCCAAAAGAGACGCAACCTTTTCTTTTGTCGAAGAAAGGGGCGTGAGACTTCAGATCTCGTGGGAGATCAACCAGACGTGCTTACGATGGCCGTGGATACCCATCATGAGATTTGCAGCCTTTATGTCGCCATTTTCGAGACGCCTGTAGTTTACGAGAGTTTAGACCGCATTTATACGAACATCTGCTGGGAGTTACGGTATCACCTTATACTTCTCTTGCATTTTCTCTTTACATCTTTCTCTCTCTAAACTAAATTCTGTATCAAATTATATCCACCGGTAGTCTAGACTTTTCCATTTGATACGTACTTGGGGGCTGAGATATTACGTAGACTTGGCTATAACTCATGCACAATGCTCTCTTCTAAATTTTATTTGAACTACTTATGAGGTTAAATCAAGGAAAAGGGATAAACTTTTTCGAGAGTGGGTTCAGGAATGCTGTACTTTGTCCGATTTCTTATTTTAATGATGTTGGACAAAGTGGCGTGTAATAATGAATCAATTGGTTGGTGAGGTAGAATTGATGTAAATAAAACCCATGGCATGGGTGTGGAACAGAGGAAACATAATGGTAGGGTGGGTGGGGTTGTGGACATCATCAATGATGGTAAATCATAAGACAAATAAGGGAGGAATTCTGCTGCTTGGTGCAGTTCTTCCAACATCTTCTGCTTCCCTTTTCCCTTGTTCCCATGGTAAAAGAAAGTGGGGTATACATTTTAATTTTAATAGCTAGGTAGTTTTATATTTATGTATCTCGTTTATAAGCTTCTTGATGAGAAAAGGTAAAGAAAATTAGGTTGTGGGAGCTGAAAATTGAAAGAGGGAGAAAGAAAGAAACCTTCTAGGGCCGTGAACGATCATCATGTAGAGAGAAAAAGTTGCCTTTTTGCCTACCAAGATAAGCTTTTAATATCGAAGCTCAAAAAGAGGGTAAGAGCATCACAGCGAGTTCTTTAATTCTGACAAAGAAATTGACTTCGTCGAAAGATAGATCAGAGGATGGAATGCGAGTGGCCATCGCTAATACTTGTGCTATGCATTAAATATCAATTGTCCATATACTCAGAAGTCTTTGCTTTTAGTCTTTCTCCATGGCACAGACTGCACTAGCTCTTCGAGTAGTACTTTTGCTGGTCCTGGGTTTGTGCCTGTTGCACAGACCACATTTTATTTGTAGTTACAGCTCTCTGACAAATTTAATCTGTCCGCTAATTAGCAGCTGAGACTGGGCCTAAGAGGCGGAAGCCACACCTGCACCTACATTGTCATTCAAGTGGTTGTAACAAGTGTTCTTTAATCTACTCTAATTCCTCCAAGTGGTCATTGAACCTACGTGACACCACAGAAAATGTTGAAGAACAAGACATGGCCTTTGTTCCTGTTTAAGCGAGCGAGAGTTGGCGCTACAACCGAGGGAAGAAGACAGATTTGTAGGTGCGGAAGGCCGGAAAGGTTTGTGCTTAAACACTTTCCTTTTAGATAGGATGATTTGAGATGAAAGAATTGTGGGACACGATTGAAACTTTACTTCTCCACTTTGTCTCTCAAGGACAATCCCTGCCTCACCCTCATTAGTCCTCTCTTTTCCTCACCCACTCCCTCTCTTATATGGAACACAGAATATCTCCCTCGTTTGTTCAGAAGGATCATAAGTTTGGAGGCACTTGTAGCTCATTTATTCTGCAGTTGTTGTCATGTGGGTTTATCAAAGTGTTGCTTGCAGAGTTTATTGGCATTCTGTCCATCTCCAAGTCATCCATCTCTCCTGAACATGGAGAAGCTTATAGATGGAGGTGGGCATCCTGCCAACAGATCTCTGCTGGCTTCTCTTTGTGAAACCCTTGTGACAGACCGGCCTCGATTTCTAGTAGCCCGGGGATTCATTCTCTCATAAAATAGAGAAAACAGGCACTTACTTATATGTTGAGAATATGAGAAAAAGGTAAAACATGCAGCTCCTTTTTTGTTTATTCTTTTGATAGGACATATGCAGCACTCGTACAACTTATGTATTATATGGGCTTCGTGGTGTCACCTCCTACGATTCTTTTGTTATCTTGAGTTCTTTTCTTCTTGGCTGCTATCATACGTTATTATTACCTGTTGAAATTACGGAGATCATTTTCCTTTTTCTTTACTTTCTGATACTGATTTCAATAAGAAGTATGGAATCCTTATCCTTCGCTTGTGTTTGTTTGCTTCATTTCCTTTAATGTTGCTTGCTTTTAACTGGCATTCTTGTGCTAATTTTCATGATATGCCCAGATCGCTGATCTGATGTTAATTGAAGGCCGAATTATGGATGGAAATAAGATATTGCTGAAAAATATTATATGTTAACCTTCTTGATGACAAAAGTGTTCTTTTTTGTTCATCATATTACTTCCCCCGACGACAGATCATGTAGAAGGATATCTTGGATGTGGCTTTCTAGACCCTATATGTCTTTTTTTTTCCTAGAAAATTTTATTCCAATGTATTGAACTTATTCCAAACACATGAATAGTTGGAACTTCTTCTTTTTGTTGATGACAAAGGGGGAGAAGTATATTGATGTCATAAATGATTTGATCATGACATGTTTGCTTAAATTTTTGAATCTAAGAGTCTATATCAATACGACATATTGATAGGGGAAGTTTGGTTAAACTCCGGGATTTAAGATTAACTCCGTCGTCGGTTGGTTGTCATCATAAAAAAGAAGGAGATTGTTGAATCTCGGATTTTGACGATGAAACCAATCGATAAGTGTTTATGTTTTAATCTGCATTTTGAGTGACGCAGGATGCTTCGATCAGGATGAGACAATTAAAGTAGGAAAAATCATGTTGCGCCGGAGGAACATGTCAGAAGATTGGACGTCGGGCCGGTGGATCGGTCGACGTATCGACAGAAGGCTTCGGGTCATGGATTCGGGCATCGAGCTAAGAAGAGCGGACATTGCGCTAAGGATATCGAAGTTGCGGAGTCAACTGGCCGATTGGACAATAGATCGTAGGAGAGGACGATGCGTCGAAGAATTGGACGAAGCATCGAGAGACCAATGACATGCCGGACAACTTGATTAATGCTTAGTATTAATTGTCTAGATTGAAGTTTGTTTTACATGTGTAGGATTAACTACGATAGTAAGGCATGAAGTAAAATAAAGTCCTGGAGTCAAGGACGCGATCACGTTGGGAGTTCGAGAGTTCGTCGGAAGTCCGGACGTTCGTCGGAAGTTCTAGAGGAACCAACCGAGAAGTCTCGCAGCTTGCCAGAGAAGCTCGTCGGAACTCGCCAAGAAGATCGTCATGAAGTCCATGAGTTTGTCGGGAGTCCGTCGGAAGCTCGCCGGAAGATCGCCGGATGAATAGATATAGGGACTTATTTAGCTTAGCAAATGTCTTAGGATTTCATAATTAGCACGTAATTTGGCTTGGATTGAGCCAACCCGGCCAGCTAGGCTCATGTAAGAACTGTGTTAGGCCCAATAAGAAGCCCAAACAGTGCCTCAAGAAATCTCACCGTCGTGGCACAGTCTTTGAGACTGTGTCAGGCGGTGGTACCGTCCAGCACTGCACCCCAAGCGGTGGTATCGCTAGATTTGGGCGGTGGTACCGCCCAGGACAGTGTCAGTCAAACTAACATTGGGTAGTGGTATCGCCCGTGCTCGGGGAACCCGAGATGGGAAAATTTTAGGCTTCAAGTTTGAATCAACTTGAAGCCTATAAATACCCCTCTCATCCCTGGTTAAAACACACAAGCACAGAGAGTCTAAAAGCAAAGAAACGCTGCTGCAATCTCTTTAGAATTCCCTCCTCTACTCTAAGTGTTAGATTTCTGTAACAGAGGAGTGTGAGTGCTTGTAAGGGTTATCTCCTAAACCCAGTAAAAGGAGAAGAGGGGTGTAAAAGGTGATTGGCCTTCGCCTATTAAAGGAAGGTCTCTAGTGAACGCCGGTGACCTCGTCGAAGGAGGAAGCCGATAGTGGATGTTGGTCACGTTGACTGAACCACTCTAAAATCTCGGTTTGCATTTCCTTTGTGCACTTTACTTTAACTGCAAGCCTCCTTATTACTTTCAAAGTTAAGCATTTCTGAAATCGGTTTTATCATACGAAATAAAATTTCTTAAACCAACGTTTTTACCGCTGCATTAATTCACCCCCCTCTCTTAGTGCGCTCTTGATCCTAATAGTGATAATACTGTAGTAATTTTCTTCTCTAAGAATTACAAATACTTTAGTGATTCCAAACACATCAAGATAAAGTACTTGGTGGTTAGAGAAAAAATTCAAAAACAATAAGTATTAATTGAGAACCTAAGTACCATTATGATGATTATTTATCCATTTACCAAAGTTTTACGATGTAACATATTTAAAGAACATGTTCTTATAATGGAGCTTGTGAGCAAGCTATATAAGATATAGTGATATATGTTTAGGTGGATGCTATTATTGATATTTTTTTTACATAATTAAAATTATTTATTTTTATTATCCTATTTACATTTATATTTATGTATATTATAGTTAAATAAAATAATAGAATTATTTTAATAAAATAAATTACAGGGGTTATTATGGACTATATTATGAAAGACTAACAATGTTGTAGTACATAAAAGAGAGTATGATATTGATGATATACAACCACTATGACTCACATTGATAGTTGAATTTAATATAATATTATTATGTTTATTAGACTTATTGGCTTGTTTTTAAATTTTATGGTCATGTATAAAATATTTTTCAAATTTTTTTGGAATCCAATTAGGCAAACTTATTTTCAAACAAATTTTATTTTATTTATTTTGATTTTGAATATCTGTTATATCTTATCAATTAATATATCAAGTGAGAGAATGTTAGATTATGTGACTATCTATAATTGAATAAAATATATAATAGAACTAATTAGATTTTGATGATAGATATTAGCTAATAAAAAAGAAGTCCATATTATAATAGGATTCTTTAGGGGATGCCCTTGATAATAAGAATTCTCATAATAACTTATCTTAGACCCTCTGTTCTCTTTTATAAATAGATCTGATATAGGACGTAGTTAAGAGATTATAATTTCTCTCTCAATCTTCCCGAATTATCAATTTAGTCCTATAAAAGAAAATGAGAGTCTAATTCTATTTTTGGATCTAAAAACGATGCCTAGATCACACAGAATTTTTTTTTAATAAAATCAAAAGGTGTAAAAATCGATCTAATGTTATTTGATTTCAATTCTGACATAAAATTTTTTTCGCATTACATATAGCATATTATAGATTTTGTGCTTACAAAGATAATCATTTATGAAGAGGGTGATCATGGGAATTATTCTTTCTTTTCCATGAGCTCTAGGGGATTAGGGGAATTATTCTTCCTTTTTTAAAAGCTAAGGGGAATTCTTCTCCTTTTTCCATGAGCACCAGATGATTAGGAGAATTATTTAAAAAAAAACAACGTGGTGATTAGAGGAATTTTTCTTCGTTTCCATGAGTGCCCGGTGATTAGGAGAATATTATTCTTCTTTTTTTTAAAAGCTACACGATGATTAGGGGAATTTTTCTTTTTTTCCATGTGCGCCAGGTGATTAGGAGAATTATTCTTTCTTTTTTTTTAACAAGATATACGGTGATTAGAGAAATTTTTCTTCCTTTCCATGAGCGCAGGGAATTATTCTTCCTTTATTTTGAAAAGCTACGCGGTGATTATGAGAATTTCTTCCTTTTCCATGAGCGCCGCTGCTTCGATTCCTCGACCCGCGGTCGAATTCGACCGGGACCATACGAAATCTCCGGTCAGAAAAGCGGGACCATTCGACCGGGACCATACGTAGGTCCCGCTTTTCTGACCAAAGAAGAGCTCGCGAAGAGTGGATGCTGTCTCGGCCCAGACGCGAAGGGCACGAAAAGCAGAGCGCGAGGGGGGCAAAAGAACAAACGCCTACCGGGCGCACAGGAAACCGATAAAGTTCTCCAAGGACGAAGACGGAAAGAGACGTGGGAGGTTTGATGTTTTCAGGGGAAAACAAAGGGGAGAAACGATCGCTTACGTCGCTCCTCGACGTCACCTCTCTCTCTCTCGCTTACGTCGCTCCTCGACGTCACCTCTCTCTCTCTCTCTCTCTCTTGTCTTTTCATCATATTCGAATTCAGTGGCTTGATGGTTCACAGCCGAGCGAGAAGAAGAAACGAGAGATATCGGAATCGGATCCATTTCACGCATTAAAATCGTTTTCTGCTGTCACGGACAATGATTCCCGAGCTGGAATTCGTCGTCCTTCACGCCTATAAAACGCTCGAGACAAGGCGACGGAGAGATCACAAGACGGCACACAGCGAGCCCTTGATTTGAATTGTTCTTAGGTTTGTTTCGCCTCCAGCGTCTTTGAGATGATGATTGAGTCGTTGCACCAAAAAGAAGTTCCTTGTTTTGTCTTTTTGTTGGCTAAATCTTTTGCATCTTTAGTTAGCTGTAGGTGCATTATATGGTCGTGGAGGCGATTGCTGGGAAACGTTTAGCTAAAACCCGTGAGACTCATTGCTTGGTATTGAGAAACGACATGCACTCTTTTAGCCCACAATACTGGAAAGAGTGCCTCAAATTCGAGGATTGTTTACATGGGCGTTTCAAGGTTTAAATGAGCTTATTCTAACCATAATTGTATGTGGTAAAAGTAAGGTTTGCCGTGCTAGGATCGTCATACCTATTATTTGAAATATCTGGCTGTGATATTTGCTATTTCATATTGCAAATTACTTAATGTTGTAAAGCAGAGTTCTGGAAGATGTTTTAGGAAAACTTAAATGCTATAGGAATATGTTGATTTTTGTTGCAATTTATGATATTGTTCTTCTAATTACTATTCTTCTTTTTCCAATCATTTCACTGTTGAAGTTTTATTCTGAGCTCAATGCATTACATTTATAAATGGCTGTCACTGCAGGGATAGAACCTCTCTGCATCTGCTTAACTGAATCAGAGGTCACAGTTATCTGATAATCATCTAGTTATCAGTTATGGGTTACAATCGCACGGTATGCACTGACCTTCGTTTTTTTTGCACCTACCTTTGAGTCTTTCCTTGGTTTGTGGTCCCTTTGAAATCAATCATCTGGTCATGTTCCGTAATCATTTGCATTTGTGCCTTATGTGGGATTTGCAGGTGGTTGATGAGACACTTCGGGGAAAAGAATGTTCCAAGAGTATGGAAACTTTCTAATATTCTATCACCTTATGTGACTGCTATATTATTCTCTTTGAATTTTGCTAAATAATATGGGATCTTTTATTGTTAAATCTGTTAAAGTTATAAAGAAGTTAGACATTTTCTGACAGATTGTTTCGTACTCCAAAAAAGCCTATACGTCTATCTCTTGTATTGTAACCTTTTCTGGAATAAATGTAAATGTAACACTAACTACATAAGAAATAAATGATGAATCATCTTAAATAAAAGTACTTCAGATATTCCTGTTATGTGTTGTTATTTACAATATCTTGGAAATGACATATTTCTAATGTTGTTTTATACAAATTGCATAAGTGATTGCAGGTTCTTAAATTTCTATTTCTACCATATATGTAAATATATATATATATATATGTATATATATGTATGTATACATATGTATACATATTTATACATATATATATATTTATTTATATATATGTATGTATGTATGTATGTATGTATGTATGTATGTATGTATGGTAGAAACAGACTGCTGTTGTAGTCTTAAAATGATGTAGCAATAGACTACTATTTGGTTTATGTTCCTTACTAAATCCAGTAGCTACCAATTTATTGTCTATTGTCCAGATGGAGCAATACAAAATGGAAGGGAGATCCTCCTTCAGGTGATAGATTGATTTTTTTATTTTTTTCATGTCCATATTGTCTACATTAATCCCACGAAGTGTGAGAATCCCCAAGGAAATTATGTATAAGAATTTTAGTTAATTGTTCATGCACCCATTTAAGATTGGGGGAATTGGAATGACTAATTTAAATTACTTGATATAATACCAAATAAAACACAACAAATGCAAAATAAATCGTTTTTGACAGAATTCATTTTCAATTCTTCTAAAGGACATTTAGGTAAGACACAAGCTGTGGTATTTATTTTATTTGATGGGCGTGAAGGAAAATACTAATGATAAAATAAATATTTTTATTGTACCACCTCGGATCTTCAAGCTGAAGGGAAACAGCATGATGATCATCCTGGATATCCTTGAATAGTAACAATTAATAGCAGTCATGAATCTCAGGTGGTCAGTTCCAGAAAATTTTTTAACCACTTTGGTTAGACTCTTGTTCACCAGATAATCTTTATCTGGCATCTTAAATTTGTCTCTATGAAACTTATTTTATTCATTTTTGCTTATAGCAATCTTCACTAATCTGACACCTAATCCATCTAAAACTACCATGTGATTTAGATAGTGCAAGAATTGATAGGTTAGCCTGTCTCCTTGCTGATAAAGTTCAATAGTAACTTGATAGGAAGAGAATTGATAGGTTAGCCTGTCTCTTTGTTGATCGAGTTCAATAGTAACTCAACAGGAAAAACTAAATCATAATGAGGATATCAAAACTTTTAGTAATAACTAAAGTTCCAACTACAAGACATTGAGTTTGCTGGTATAACTGTATACACTTTACATGTATCATCACATACATTTCCAAGGAAAATTTATAATTGTGACTCGTAGTTAAGCTATAGCACATCACATTTGTCACTGTAACTTTATAACATGTTGTTTTGTATTGTATCTTAGTTAACTCTTTTATCAAATTTTATTCTTTCCTCAAAAGTGCTTAAGTCATTTGAGGGTCTATGCAGCATTTAACCATTCTTGCAGATGCATGTCTTTGCAATTGTTCTTGTTATTTTGAAACTCATGCTGAACTGTTAATGTTTATGCTTAACAAACATCTGTTTTTGCAGGCTTTCAATTGGGAGTCACACAAACATGATTGGTGGCATAATTTGGAGAGGAAAGTTGGTGATGTTGCTAAATCTGGCTTCACATCAGCTTGGCTGCCTCCAGCAACCAATTCATTATCTAAAGAAGGTTAGTAAATCAATGGATATTTCTTCATTTGGATTTTCAGCTTATGCTTATGAAATTTATCCCCCTCATTTTTACAGGGTATCTGCCACAAAACTTGTATAGCCTTAACTCTTCATATGGTTCCCAAGATGGATTAAAAAGTTTACTTCAAAAAATGCATCAACACAAAATCAGAGCAATGGCTGATATAGTTATTAACCATCGAGTTGGAACTACCCGTGGACATGGGGGAACATACAACCGCTATGATGGAATTCCCATGTCCTGGGATGAACGTGCTGTCACATCATGCTCTGGTGGCCTGGTAAGGTTACATCTCGATAGTATATGAAATTTGTATATTAATAGTTAGTCAAGTTAATTCAACTAGAGTTTGTTATATTTAGTCACATCATGTATGCTTTCCATATTCTTGACTACTTCCTTTATGTTCTCTCTTGTTTACATACACTTACATCGTACCAAATGTTACCTTCAAGGTGGATGCATCTATTTATATAATTGATGGTCATACTTCAACAAAGTGTTTCTGTCACATGTTCTTTTTTGAGTCAGAGCCAAATATGTCTTTTGGGTAGACCAAAGCGAAGAAACGTGCAGGTTAAGACGCTAGGTGTGCAAATAATTTCTGCTCATTGATAAAAATTAAAATTTACTATTTGTCTTATTGTTCAATTATTAAATTCTCACATGAAGAGTAAGAGAACTTTTTTAATGAGATTTATTTTATGATGAATGATTGACCAGAATTGAGCATTTGGAAAGCATAGGATATATTCAGTTTTCTGGCTTCAGTGAATAACTGATCCGTATGCTGCAAAGTTAGAAAATTATCAAATTTTGTGTTTCCTTTCAAAGGGGCATGATTGAAACCTCTTGGCATGCATGTGCTAGGAGCCATGTGCCAAAGCTTAGCAGACCTTGGCGTGATGACATTTATATAGGGCAAAAATGTGAGGGAAAAAAAGGAACTAGTCAAAATAGTATCAACAGTAAGAAATTTGAGAATTAAGTAGATCATACTAGTATATCCCTTCTGTATATATTTACCAGAAATTAAAAAAAACACATTTTTGATGAAAAACTGGATTTGTTCCGGAAATTGGTTTCATGCTGTGGCTGTTGACACAACCAGCATTACATGGTATCCTGCCATGCTAAGAGGTTAGCAAGCTTGCATGCCAGTCAAAAGGCAATTGTTGATTGCATATAATATTCTAGTAATCTATTCAAAAGAATTTTTAATCATCCTTTCAAGTCTCAAAAGAATTTAAAAATCTTTATAGAAACCTTCCTAGTTTTGCTAAAGTTGCTTGATTCTGTGATTTTGGTTGTTCAAGCAATGGCATGGTGCTTTTAATGCTTCTCATAATTATTAGTATTTGTGGTGAACGACTTGAACTGCCAATATGACAATATTTTCTTCTATGTATCTTCTTAATGAGAGTACTTGAATGTATCAACTTGTGTAGCATGCAAAAAGGGTCATATTAAAACCATCGTTTCCAATTTCTTCTTCTTTTAACTGCGTTGCCTCTAGGGTTCACGAAGCTATGGTGAAAACTTTCATGGAGTTCCCAATATTGATCATAGCCAAGCTTTTGTACGAAAAGACATAATTGGTTGGTTAAAGTGGCTTCGCAAAGATATTGGTTTTCAGGATTTTCGTTTTGATTTTGCAAAAGGGTGAGTGTCCTCTTTGAAGTTATTGTCATCTAGAACTCTGCTAAGACTTCTCTTTTGCATGTTTCCTAAAGTAATATTCTCTTTTGAACTTCATAGATATGACCCAAAATTCGTAAAAGAATATGTTGAAGAGTCAAAACCTGTATTTTCTGTGGGAGAATATTGGGATAGCTGTAATTATGTAGCCCCTGATTCTCGCTTGGACTACAATCAAGGTATTATCCTTCAAAAATACATTTCATTTTAATGTCACATGAGTAAATTCTTACCTTATATGTTAATGTGCTTAAATTTTATGGTGATCTGATGTTTTATGATTTTTTTTTTGGTAATATGTATATGAAAACAATCTAAAAGTAGTTCTTGTGCTGTGTGGTCTGTTCTATATTTGTTTTCAGAATAGTTAGGACTTAGCTTCTGTTAATTGCACCTAACTTGTAGTGCTAGTTTAGGGAAATCAGTATTTTGAGATACCTAGAATTCTGATATCTTGCTCTTAATGTGGAAAATAACTTCAGCTTGGACTCCTATTGTTGGCATGACATAGTTACTATTGGGAGCTGTTGTGCTTCAAAGTAGTTGTCAATATGAATGAAAACCATGCCCACTACATGAAAAATGAATATTTTTGTAAATAATGTCTCTCTCTGTAACTTCAGGAAACTGAATAAGCTTTGTTAAACTATTAATTCATCATATCACTTAAAACTAACAGTAACCTTTTCCATGTGTAACTTAAACTAATGTTTACATCTGTAGAAGAGGTACAACCTCCATTTAGATGGTAGGCGTGCCAAAAAGTCTGGTTGTTTTCTATAGAACATCAATGCTTATAGAATATTATACAATTTACATATACATTTACCTTGTTAAATGTACAGACAGTCACAGACAAAGGATTATTAACTGGATTGACAAAACCGGACAGGTCTCTGCTGCATTTGATTTCACGACAAAGGGCATCCTACAGGTGCTTTCTGTAAAAAGTTTTCTTTTCTCATGTTATAACAAATCTATCCTTTTTGCTTGGCAGCAGTATTATGAAAGCTGCTAAAATTTATTTGATTAAATACAGGAAGCAGTTAAGGGACAACTATGGCGATTGCGTGATTCTCAAGGGAAGCCACCCGGTGTGGTTGGGTGGTGGCCTTCACGAGCAGTGACATTTATTGAGAACCATGTCACTGGGTCAACTCAGGTATATTAATTTTCATCAGTTGGATGAATTGCTTCCTAATGTACCATCAAATTTATTTCAGATTAAAGCATGCTTTAATTATAAGACTCCGCCACTTCTGTTTTATCTATCAATTTTAAGTATCTACTAAATGGTGGGATATAATTTTTCAGGGTCATTGGCCTTTCCCATCTGATCATATTATGGAGGTATGTATTTGATTTTACACCATACCCATTTATAACTGAGTAGCGATTTTTTTTATGAAACTAACTTCTCTCTTCTAAATATTATTGTCCTATGATGAAATCTTTAGTTCTTAGTTTTATTTGTATATGCATAGTAGAATACATGAAAATTATGATCGATAATGATTCTATTAAAAAAACCACTTTGAACGAAAAAATAGAGGTAAGTTTGTAACACTACTTAAAACCATACTAAGCAAAGATGTTGTAGTAACTATGGGGCCGCAAGCTTCGTCATTATTTTTGTCTTCTATGTTTTTGAACTACAATAAATTTTTAATTCCCAAATTACTTTGTAGGGATACGTTTATATACTCACTCATCCAGGAATACCAACCGTATTCTACGATCATTTCTATGATTGGGGTAACTCTTACCACTATCAAATCATGAAATTGGTATGCTCATTTACTTATTCTTGTTGAATCATCTTTCTAGGTCATCTTTCTTAAATCTTAATAATATACAGATGAACATTCGTTGCCACCAAGATATCCATAGTCGCTCCAAGATCAATATTTTGGAGGCTCGCTCCGATCTCTATGCCGCAAAAATCGACGATAAAATCTGTATGAAGATTGGCAATGGGTCATGGTGTCCGAGTGGTCGGGAATGGACACTTGCTACAAGTGGAAATAGATATGCAGTGTGGCACAAATAGTATTGTCATATTATATATATATGTATATATATATATGTGTATATATGTGTATATATATATATATATATGTATATATGTGTATATATATAATATATGTATATATATATATATGTATATATGTGTGTATATATATGTATGTATTTATGTGTATATGTATATGAATATATATATATATATAGGATGGAGAAATAAATCATTTTTCTTCGGTTGTATCTTTTGTTGACTGAAGTTGTCTTGCTTCCTATTTTTAAATAATCATGAGCAATTTACTAATGATTTACTCATTAAATTTTGACGATATGCTAGACTAATTTATGAAAGGTTGAGGATTTGAAATCTCATTAGTTTAATTGGTAATTATTTTGACAGTATATTATAACATCGCAGGCTCGAACTTTGTATTTGTCATTTACCCTTAAAAAAAATTTGTTGATTGGTAGGTCGATATTGCCCTATAGATTTAAAATTTTCGCAGGTGGTGGCCTCACTATATATATATTTTTAAAAAGCCATATGGCAAAGTTGAATCAGCCTTTATTTTCTGTTGGTGATGACGCTCTCACAAGACTGATACCAGCCTCAAGTGCAAAATGGGGTGACTCACTCCTTTAAAGGTTCCAGTGTTGGCACCAATCACTCGATACCCAACACGGGCCCTGTTTTTTAGTGATGGATCAAGGCTCACCCATCTCGGCGTTGGATGCGGTCTACGGTCAAGTACTGACCCGCTACTGCTAATTATCATAGTACATGTCCCTTCGACGAAACCAATTACACTTAATTTAAATGCGTTACCGTACTAGTTAAATTTGCAAGTTAGTAAAAATTAAGTGTGCTAAATCATCTAAATCATCGCTACCGGAGGGATCGGCGCATCGCCATACACAAGCAGCATCGGACGGTAAGGGTAGCTGCTTTAAGGCGGCTGTAATAGTAGTCGCATCTCTAAAATTAAAAGAGTAGATACGCGCGGTCATAATTAGTTGCTCCAAGAACTCGTTCGTTACCCCCCTAATCCCTACACCGCCTCATCCTCTGTAGATCGCCTTGAACCTCGGTGGCTGGTGGCTAGCGGCACAGTGGTACCTTCTCTCGCTCCTCTTCATCGCCTCTATTCCGATCGGGCTCCCTTTCTTGCCCCTTCCGTTCGCTATCTGCTTCGAAACCCCAATCTTTCCGGACTCTCATTCCTTTATTTTCGGTGATTCCAAGCTAGATTCTTTATTTCTAGTTGTTTCTTATGTTCTTCTGTCCTGCGAGAATGTCATTGCTGTTCTTACTGTGGGGTATCGTCAATGCTCTTCTTGTTCGGTTGACTCGGAATTTTGCTTGTTCCGCCTGTTGCGCCGCCCAATTGTCAAGAACTCCGTTTCCTCATTCTTTACACTATAATTTAGGGTGTCTGTTTAGCTTGCCATGGAGATCATGTTTTCTAATCCATAAATGCCTCTGCTTTACATGTATACAAGAATCCTCAACAATATTATGCTTCTGAAGACAACTTGCATCTCCGGGTAATAGGGTTACTTTCTTGGCTCCATGCTTTCATCTTGTGTTATGTGACTTTGATCTTCTCGATGAGGCCTTCTTTTATTTTATTAGCGAGCTTTTTGGTCGGTCAAATTTGAACTGGATTGGGTCAACAAGTTGTTGACCAGAAACGTCGTGTCTCGGGACTGAGAACCGATCAAGGACCGTGTTCTTAACGATTTCGATCAGGGTTTACTGAAAGAGAAGTATGTTTCGACCGTTCCGCAGTAAAAATCCCTCTTCTTCATGCGTGTTTAGTCAGATACGATAAGAGTGTAAGAGCATCGCAGCGAGTTCTTTAATTCTGACAAAGAAGTTGACTTCGTTGAAAGATAGATCAGAGGATGGAATGCGAGTGGTCATCGCTAATACTTGTGCTATGCATTAAATATCAATTGTCCATATACTCAGAAGTCTTTGCTTTTAGTCTTTCTCCGTGGCACTAGCTCTTCGAGTAGTACTTTTGCTGGTCCTGGGTTTGTGCCTGTTGCACAGACCACATTTTATTCGTAGTTACAGCTCTCTGACAAATTTAATCTGTCCGCTAATTAGCAGCTGAGACTGGGCCTAAGGGGCGGAAGCCACACCTGCACCTACATTGTCATTCAAGTGGTTGTAACAAGTGTTGTTTAGTCTACACTAATTCCTCCAAGTGGTCATTGAACCTACGTGACACCACAGAAAATGTTGATGAACAAGACATGGCCTTTGTTCCTGTTTAAGCGAGCGAGAGTTGGCGCTACAACCGAGGGAAGAAGACAGATTTGTAGGTGCGGAAGGCCGGAAAGGTTTGTGCTTAAACACTTTACTTTTAGATAGGATGATCTGAGATGAAAGAAGTGTGGGACACGATTGAAACCTTACTTCTCCACTTTGTCTCTCAAAGACAATCCCTGCCTCACCCTCAAACTCACCCTCAGTAGTCCTCTCTTTTCCTCACCCACTCTCTCTCTTATATGGAACACAGAATATCTCCCTCGTTTGATCAGAAGGATCATAAGTTTGGAGGCACTTGTATCTCATTTATTCTGCAGTTGTTGTCATGTGGGTTTATCAAAGGGTTGCTTGCAGAGGTTATTGGCATTCTGTCCATCTCCAAGTCATCCATCTCTCCTGAACATGGAGAAGCTTATAGATGGAGGTGGGCATCCTGCCAACAGATCTCTGTTGGCTTCTCTTTGTGAAACCCATGTGAAGCTTATAGATTGCAAGTGGCCTGGGGATTCATTCTCTCATAAAATAGAGAAAACAGGGCACGCACTTATATGATGAGAATATGAAAGAATGGTAAAAAACATGCAGCTCCCGTTTTGTTAATTCTTTTGATAGGACATATGCAGCACTTGTACAACTTATGTATTATATGGGCTTCGTGGTGTCACCTCCTACGATTCTTTTGTTACCGTGAGTTCTTTTCTTCTTGGCTGCTGTCATATGCCATTATTACCTGTTGAAATTACATTTTCTTTACTTTCTGATACTGATTACAATAACAAGTATGGAATCCTTATCCTTTCTTATGTTTGTTTGCTTCATTTCCATTTCCTTTGCTTGCTTTTAACTGGCATTCTTGTGCTAATTTTCCTGATATATCCAGATCACTGATCTGATGTTAATTGACGGCCGAATGATAGATGGAAAGAAGATATTGCTGAAAAATATCGTATGTCAACCTTTTCGATGACAAAAGCCCTCTTTTATGTTCATCATATTACTTGCTCGGATGTGCCTTTTTAGACTCTATATGTCTTTTTCTTTCCTAGAAAATCTTATTCTTTTTGCTCTCTGTTCACTTTGCTCTTTCTTGATTTTCTTTCCTTTTGGGTTATCTTTACTGAAACAAAAGACACCCTTTTTGTTCTTTTATCTTTCTTGAACCATCATTGGCATGAGAATGAAACTAAAACTTATATCAGGAGGGAGAGAGGCACTTCTGTTCATAAATTCCCTGCTAGCAGTTGCCTTTATGATCTTATTTTCTTTGTTCTTTAAAATTGGCTACTTACATTGATAACCAACTCCCTGTCAGGGTAAATGAACCTGATGAATTCACCAAACCAGATCTTGCTTCAGGTTTGCATACGTTTGTAAGCCCTCAGTCTTAGTGGACAAGAACAAGCACATGCACTCAGAAAAAGGGTTTATTATTTGCTAGCATCTGGAAATGATAAAATTACAAATGTAGGCATTTTGTCAAACGCAGGTTTTGGTTGCCTGCATCAACAATGCATATTGCACTTTCGATGGCAGCTGAAGTCCTTGATTCTGCATTTTCACATTCAACTAAGGTGTCTGAATGTGTTATTGCAGGCTAGTTACAACTGAAGACTGGGATCTCTGTCATCCTGCTCTCTGATAACCACCACTCCTTTTGCCACTGCTTCCAATCATTGCCCCTCTGGCCATCAACTTGATTGCTGTTGTTCTTGGTGTCACCACTCTTGATCGCTGTTGTCCCTTTTTCTACATCTCTTGGTGACAACGGTCCTTCCCGCTATATAGCCACTGTTTCTTTAACCATTCCTGCTCCTCTGACATCCAGAAAAAATGCATTGAAGTTGCAAAAGCAAGAATGATATATAATCATGGCCTTAAATTTAACCACTTTCTTTTCGAACTTCTTGAAAAACAGACAAACCACTTTCTTTTTCTGACGTGCAGCAAATGCTTTGATATAGCTAACGTAACTCAGGAACTTTTAATCTGATTACCAGATGATTTTCAATGCTGAATGAAGTGATACAATTTATCTGGACTCTTTCTTGAACACTAGTTGCGAAAATGGGACTTCTTTCTTTTTATCTCATCCTTGTTTCTCCTTTTGCATGCTGATGCTTTAGTACTTTGTATGCCAAGCGCTTAAACAAAAAGGTGGAGTTCTTGAAGAAATGAAGCTCGAATGTGCAGACACGTTGAAGGAATGCCTCCTTTTCAAATACTAAGAAAAATGGGGCTCGTGTTGCATTACAGTGTTTTGAATGAATATTTTTGTTATCTACAGTTGTGTCTACTTAGTTCTTTGTTTTTCTATGTATTAATTGCTGATGACACTTTCGCTGTCACTGTTATCCTACTCTGCATGCATGCACACCAATTAATCGCATTGGACACAATCACTAAAATTTAAAGATTACTTGTACAGGAATGCGTACGACAACAAGCCAGGTAGTGACTCTGGCAAACTCACCAAGAGCATGGAATATGAAACATTTGGGTTGGGTACCTGCTCCATCTGTCTCACCTGAACATCATAGTAATCAACATTTTGATATAGTTTCCTTGTTTTGTTGCAATTCTTTGAACGTCATTAATTGATCTAATTTCAGGTTATGTCTCAAGTCATCATGTGTTGAAGCATCATAGACATTTGCCTCCTGCTCGCTTACCAACCTCAATTACTCCACCACAAACACAGGGTTCTAAATCTTGGTTTCATTGACCTGGTTTGGCTCATGTTTTTTGGCCAAAACTAAGAATTTAGCCGACTTTGTCGGTGATGATAATTATT